CAATAACTCCCACGGTGCGCTCGTAACGGAATCTATGAAGTCTAATATATACTATATATACGTAAAAGTAAAAGTGGTGTAAGTAAATTAATTGATATTCTTTCTATAATATTGTTTTATGCATTATAGAATATTGGATTTATCGATTTTAAGCCGACGAAAATAGTAGTTTAGTTTCTATTGTTTTCCTTATTAGAAGAAAATAATAATTTTGTTGTGTTTTTTTTCAGAAGGAATAATTCAGGCGATATATCTCTTTATGTGCAGTTCAATTATTTGTGTTTTTAATCAAGATTTGAATGAGAATATCGAACGATTAGCACAAGATAAATCCAGGTTGTGATACGTTGGGCAAGTAAAGTTACAAACAATTAGATACACGAATCATAAGAAAGGACAACACGGGTGATTAGATTTATATCATTAATGAAATCATGGTAAATGGTATTATTTAATTACACTAATGTATCATATAAAACCTTAGGAAACATTCTGTATGCAGAACTTCGTTGCTTTCATAACCCTGATTTAAGACAATCGGATCTCAAATCAAAACAAGACTCGTCTGACAGCTGAGTCTCGCCTCGGGAATTTTAAATGCAAATCCTTTGACTTTAAGGTAATGTTTGTAATATTTCTCGTGATGAGATAACGGGTTAAAGAAGCTACGCTGAAAAATTTTAGGAACAGCGCAGAAGACACCCGTAGTGGCTTTTCAAAAGGATTTTTATCTTCCTTAGTTATATTGACTAGTATGTTCTATCTGTTCCACTTGATATCTACTTGATGGAAGGAGTACATTCAGAAGTCCAACCTGATAGTGGCACGCTATTAGGCGACTGTCGCGGCCTTTGTACTTTGTGCTCTGGCAGATAACGTATATTATGGCTAAATTAGATTTGCACTGATGTATAAATACGAGAGAGAGAGAGGCAGAAGTGCGGGAGGGAGAGTTCCTTGACAAATCTAGAAAGGGTATTAGTGAGAATGAATACAACGTACAGCAACATATGTGACTGGCACAACCAAATGACTTACACATACAAACGGATATACAGTTTCATTACACATCTGTCAAGAACAGTCTGCATAATTGATATCCCTTTGGTCTTGAGCAATCTATAAGTGCCAGGTGCAGCATATGCTAATTACTTGAATGGTAATTCTGTATTGTACAGACACACGCCAGAGATGAAGTCCCAAATTTCATGTCACAAAATTTAATCATTAACTGAAGTTGCTGTGACTGGGTGTGTCTGAGGGGAGGGTTGCTCTTCCCCTCCAACACTCCCTAGGAAACATTCTCTTCACCTCATATGTACGGCAAGATAGAGCTGAAACTCTACATGTTACTTGCACGTGCTCAGCCATCTACCAGCAAATTTTCACAGCTCCATTGTCACAGTCCTCCTTACTCATTCCAAAAGTGAAGTTTGTTTACATTGCTACCTGTGCTTCTGAATTCTTTCCCAGCTTTCCAGTGAAAACGATCTCCTATTGAAATTGTTTCTATATGCGGTATAACACTAAATTCCAGCTGCAGAACTTTGTAGGAGCTTCGTCACATCCCAGCTACCCTTAGTACTACTGTGAGGTAAACCTAATTTGTATCTCTGATTGGACAGTTGGTGGCATTCAGGAGGGGCCCAGAGGCAGCATCCCCATTAACCCATTCACGCTGCTGGTATTTTGAAGCCAAAAATAAAATATTCCGGGCGGCTACAAAATCGGCGGGCGGAGCTTCCCCGGAGTCTGTCTACCCACCGGCTGTGGCCCGCTGCTGCGTTGGAGCGCAGCCCCAATACAGCGTCACATTGACGGGATGCAATGTTTATTTATTTCGGGTGTCTCATATATGGGACACCTGTCACTAATGGGTTAAGAAAATATGGCGAATAGTAAGAGGTCCTGGGGTGGAGCCCCCAGTAGGGAAATACGGTGACCAGGAGGGGATCTGGAGACAGAGATCCCATTAGGATAATATGGTAACTGGAAGGGTGTTGAGAGCCAGACCCACTGATAGGGAAATATGGCGACTGGGAGGGGTTCCTGGGATGGAGCCACTGGTAGGGAAATATGGCAAGTGGGTGGGGGTCTCGGGGCAGAGCTCCAAATAGGGTAATAGTATGTTGTTCTATCCATTCCCCCTTTGATGGAAAGTTCTACCTGATACGGACACTTTTAGGCAGTTGCCATGACCTCTGTATTTTGTGCTTTGCCGAATGGCGACAAATCACAAGCATGTATAAGTATTTGTACTGTTTCTCTCTCTCACTCACTCACTCACTTACTCACTCATTCACACTCACACTCACTCACTATCGCTCACTTACATTCACTCACATTCACTCTCTCGCTCTCTATTGTAATTACATTAATAACTCCTGAATGAATGTCTAACACACTGAGCAGTATAGCTAGGGATTTATTTATAGAACCTAAAGGAAGAGATGAATTGAATTCTTTAGTGGGAATAAGTATTTTCTTTTAAAGTTTTCTTTGCTTCCTTTTTGGGGGGAATACAGTGGCATCATAGTTAACTTTCTTCATATAAATAATTTGGAGAATGTTCTTCCATAAGTTGATGATTTTTATGTGTTTAATAGTAAAAAGTTATTGAGAATTTGAAACTGTATATTTTATAAGTATGCATTTGTAACTTGTAATTTCTAAGTCTTCTAGATGCAGTTTTTTACATTGCTAGATTCACAGAATGGATCAACTATAATTAAGTTATTTATGAATCATTCTAACTGACTTCTTATGTACTCATTATTATTGTTTGTGCACATTCCCTTCCAGGTACACAATGGGCTTGGTGCGTCAGGCAAGTGGGCTCCCTTGCTGCCGCCGTCCTTCCGCAATTTTGTGTACCTGCTGTCATGGATTGGAGCCTTCATCTGCGGGAGCTTGCTGACCCTCATGTCCGTAGATCCAATGAGCTGCAACATCCACCAGTGCACAGAAAAAATCAAGCGTATTGATGTGGAGGACTCGAACAGCTGGCTAGGCATGTGGGGCCAGAATGCCAAGGGCCCGGGCAAGAGTGTGTTTCTAGTAATCATAGTGATATCAGCGCCAGGCAATTCCGAGCAGAGAGACACCATCAGGCAGACATGGCTTAGTGAAGAGAAGTCCGATACGCTTCACTACTTTGTCATTGGCACTGGGAGCCTCAGCGAGAACGTCAATGTTACAATTCAGTCGGAACAGAGGAGGTTCGGAGATTTGCTGCTCCTGAACAATGTTATTGACTCATACAGCGCCCTGACTAAGAAACTATTGGCATCTCTGGTTTATGTCCACTACAATGTCAAATTTAGGTTCCTCATGAAATGCGATGATGATACTTATGTCCAGATCCCACAACTACACAAAGAACTCAAGGCAGTGCCCTACAAACAGCGTCTCTACTGGGGTTTCTTTGACGGCAGAGCAACTCCACATAAGAAAGGAGTGTGGAAGGAGAATGAATGGGTCCTGTGCGATCATTACTTGCCATATGCATTAGGCGGAGGATATGTTCTCTCATCTGATTTAGTGACATTTGTAGCAGTGAACTCCAAGTACCTCAAGCTATACAAAAATGAGGACGTATCGCTAGGAGTCTGGTTGGCCTCAGTTGACCTGCATCGAGTCCACGACACGAGATTCGACACAGAATATGTTTCTAGAGGCTGTAACAATGAGTATTTAGTTAGTCACAAACAGAGCACACTGCATATGCGCGAAAAATTCAATTCCTTAAAAGCCACTGGACTTCTCTGCAAGGAACAGTTCCAAGTGCGTAAATCTTATAAATACAATTGGAATGTACCAGCGTCAAATGTTGTGTGCGCAATGACTCATCAATCCCATAGACGAGAGAAAATACTAGTCGTGTCAAACTTCCATGTCTGTGCAAAAACATATATTAGATAGGCTGGTGAATTTTGTGATATCAGAACCACAACACTGTATTTTATTATGCTGTAAATTAACTAAAGAAAATAAAAAAATCATATGCAAAAATTGTGCCATTCAGAAATACTGGTAATGATTGTATAAGCTACTCCTAGAGAAAAAAACAAGTTATAAGAGGAAACAAGATGTAATATACTAGATTGAACTCTTGCTGTAATTTAAATCTCTCTCTCTCTCTCTCTCTCTCTCTCTCTCTCTCTCTCTCTCTCTCTCTCTCTCTCTCTTCTCTCTCTCTCTCTCTTTCTCTTTCTCTCTCTCTCTCTCTCTCTCTCTCTCTCTCTCTCTCTCTCTTCTCTCTCTTTCTCTTTCTCTTTCTCTTCTCTTTCTCTTTCTCTTTCTCTTCTCTCTCTTCTCTCCTCTCTCTCTCTCTCTCTCTCTCTCTCTCTCTCTCTCTCTCTGTCTCTCCTCTCTCTCTCTCTCTTCTAAGTATATAAAAATTTTAATATTTAAAAATAATTATGTAATTTTTTGGTAAAGATTTATACATGTAGCATATTCTATTATTAGATCTTCAACAAAATTGGTATTTTTAAATTTTTATTTGAGTGGCAGATTATGAGTTGCCAAAGGTTGCATGTGTTAAGAGGATTTTCTTGAGTAATCAAATTGTTAGTGTGTAGGTGGGAGTGAAGTAAGGATTATCACAACACAAGGAACACACAAAACTTTCATGTCACACCCCAGTGCAATTATTTTTAATGTATAGTGTATTATTATAATCTTCCTGTTTTCCTTTTTTGATTTTCATTTCAGCTATTAGCTAGAAAAATTATAATATCTGAATTTGTAATTCTGTCTTTACTTGTAATGTTTTTTTTTCATCAATTTTTGGCTTTTTTATAATGACCAATATTTCCATTCTTTTATTCTGTGCACAAATTACCTTAACACAAAAAAAAAAAAAAAAAGTTGCTTTTATTGTTGGATTTGGATTTTAGAAAAATACCACTATGCTTTACCAAGAAATTCAAGCTTGATTTTTGAATTCCCAGAACCTGATTTTTTTATATAGTTTCTTGAGATAAGATTTTAATGAT